AGGCCTGGCTCTATGACCTGAGAGTCTCAATTCATTTGCCTGGAAATACTCCACTTTGCAAATGTCCTATGCCTTGTCATGTCCCCATGTTAACGCCTCCTGGCAGAAAGACAGAAACATAAAGTTCTAATAGGGGTTCATTTACAGGGTGGAAGATACTGAGTTTTGAGAAATAGTGATTAAGGTCAAAGCCTGATTCTCATTGTTTCTACAAAGATAAACTACAGTGATAGGCTAATCCACAGACATTTATTTAGCACTTACTGTGCACACTGTGTAGTAGGTGACACAAAGAGGAATAACACATGCTCCTGTTCTGTGCCAGCTCGCATTCCAGCAGGGAAGATCGATACACACAAAAATAAACCAGACACAAAGAGAGCCAGAGCAAGGACGATCAAGGATCAGGCAGTGTTTCAGGAGTGCCCGAGAGGGAGAAATCAATTTTGATGGGGATCCACGGAAGTCTCTTGGGCAAGGTGGGATTTAAACTGGACCATAAAGAGTGGGGCTGCTATCTGTGAATATGACGGAGAATGACATTCTAGGTTGTGGGAGTTGTTTGAAGAAAAACATGGACTTAGAAAAGTGTTCGGTAGAAATGTGCATGATTATGACTTAACCAGCATGAGTGTAGTTTGGCTTGGGGGTAGAGGTGTAGAATTTGAGGCTAGAAAGGTAGGTTGAAAGCATATCATGGGAAACAAACCAAGGCCAATGAGGAGCTTTGGCTTTACTCTCTGTGCTGTGGGGAAGGGTTGAGGGTCTTTGAGTAGGGAGGCACCAGAAGCAGACACGTTTTTATTAAAAAAAAAAAAAATCCCTGGTGCCACTGTGAAGAACAGATGATAGAAGCAAGAAGAAAACAAGACTTGGTGAAAGTAATGGGAACCTGAGCTAAAGCCAAAGAAGTAGCAAGAGCAGCCAGAGGGGGACGAAGGGGAGGGGCATTTGAGGGACTGTGTTCTTCCAAAGGATGGTTGATGACATGCAGCAAAGAAAGCAGAGGTGAGCTGGCAGGGCTCTCCTTGGCACATCCGATCCCAGTCTGGGTTGCTGCCTAGAGCAGACCATGGACTCAGAGGAAGAGGCTGGAAAGGGGCCCAGAGGCTGGGTGGTGAGGGATAGCTCTTGGCCATCCCCAAAAGACTTTTCTCCTCCCTAGAATGCCCAGAGGGGTAGCAATTGACCATCTGCTTTGCCTGCCTGGAATATCAAAATCAGTGATTCCCAGACATGGGCCCTCAGCCTGGCAATGTCAGAAGTCCTGAAGTTCTTTTTTTTTTTTTTTTTTAACATCTTTATTGGAGTATAATTTCTTTACAATGGTGTGTCAGTTTCTGCTTTATAACAAAGTGAATCAGTTATACATATACATATGTTCCCATATCTCTTCCCTCTTGTGTCTCCCTCCCTCCCACCCTCCCTATCCCACCCCACTAGGTGGTCACAAAGCACCAAGCTGATCTCCCTGTGCTATGTGGCTGCTTCGCACTAGCTACCTATTTTACGTTTCATAGTGTACATATGTCCATGCCACTTTCTCACTTTGTCACAGCTTACCCTTCCCCCTCCCTGTGTCCTCAAGTCCATTCTCTAGTAGGTCTGTGTCTTTATTCCCATCTTGCCCCTAGTTTCTTCATGACCTTTTTTTCAGATTCCATACATATGTGTTAGCATACGGTATTTGTTTTTCTCCTTCTGACTCACTTCACTCTGTATGACAGACTCTAGGTCCATCCACCTCACTACAAATAACTCCATTTCGTTTCTTTTTATGGCTGGGTAATATTCCATTGTATATATGTGCCACATCTTCTTTATCCATTCATCTGTTGATGGACACTTACGTTGCTTCCATGTCCTGGCTATTGTAAATAGAGCTGCAATGAACATTTTGGTACATGACTCTTTTTGAATTATGGTTTTCTCAGGGTATATGCCCAGTAGTGGGATTGCTGGGTCATATGGTAGTTCTATTTTTAGTTTTTTAAGGAACCTCCATACTGTTCTCCATAGTGGCTGTATCAATTTACATTCCCACCAACAGTGCAAGAGGGTTCCCTTTTCTCCACACCCTCTCCAGCGTTTATTGTTTGTAGATTTTTTGATGATGGCCATTCTGACTGGTGTGAGGTGATACCTCATTGTAGTTTTGATTTGCATTTCTCTAATGATTAGTGATGTTGAGCATCCTTTCATGTGTTTGTTGGCAATCTGTATATCTTCTTTGGAGAAACGTCTATATAGGTCTTCTGCCCATTTTTGGATGGGGTTGTTTGTTTTTTTGATATTGAGCTGCATGAGCTGCTTGTAAATTTTGGAGATTAATCCTTTGTCAGTTGCTTCATTTGCAAGTATCTTCTCCCATTCTGAGGGTTGTCTTTTCATGTTGTTTATGGTTTCCTTTGCTGTGCAAAAGCTTTTAAGTTTCATTAGGTCCCATTTGTTCATTTTTGTTTTCATTTCGATTTCTCTAGGAGGTGGGTCAAAAAGGATCTCTCTGTGATGTATGTCATAGAGTGTTCTGCCTGTGTTTTCCTCTCAGAGTTTGATAGTGTCTGGCCTTACATTTAGGTCTTTAATCCATTTTGAGTTTATTTTTGTGTATGGTGTTAGAGAGTGTTCTAATTTCATACTTTTATATGTACCTGTCCAGTTTTCCCAGCACCACTTATTGAAGAAGCTGTCTTTTCTCCACTGTATATTCTTGCCTCCTTTATCAAAGATAAGGTGACCATATGTGCGTGGGCTTATTTTAAAGCAACTTTTAGGTACTTTCCCAGGTGATTCTGATCTGGGAACCTAAGGTGGGTCTGAGGTGGGTCCGGGTATCCATATGTTGTAAAGCTCCCAGGTGACTCTGATGCACAACTGGATTTGGGAACTACTGTGGAATCTTACTGTTGAGCTGGGAAATGAATAGAAAACATGGGTTCAATGTATGCTTGTGCTAGTGAACACTATGATGGCTTGAAGACCTTAGGATTTGGTCCCCAACAGCATCTCAAACATAATGACCTTCACTGAGTGTCTTAGCCTCTCCTCCCTCCCCAACTCCAATCCTCAGCGAACACATCAGGAGGTGGGAGAAGCTGTGTGATTGACAGGGTCCCTTGAACTTCCCAAAAGGTCATTGTGCATATACAAGTCATCACTTTCACCCTTGTCCTTGGCTGTGTCGCAGGAGCACCATGAGAGGGTCTCATCATAGGTGTTTTGAGACTTTAGAAAACAGGTTACATAAAAATACTATCCATTTTCTGCCAGGCTTGTACAATATTCATAGCACTTTTACTACTATTATTGTTTTTATTTCTCAGAAAAACCATGCAGTACAAAGTTAAGGTGGGTGTTAAAAACATCCCTTCTACACACTGGGCTCCATGGGATTCAGTGACTCGTGCAAGGTCAGACAACCAGAGCTGGCCCTGAATCCGCCATCCTCCCGAGCTCCAGTTCTGCTTCTGTGCCAGAATGGAGAAGGGTAACATAAAGGCATTTTTCTGTCCTTGTAAAAGGGAAAAAAATGGGGGAAGGGGAAATTATTTAAACACACCTCACTCATACTGCAATCACTGCATTGTTTTTCCTGTTGAAAGACCCTGTTGGTTTTTAAATCCCTTTAAACCTACCCGACACCTGTATGGCCCAGATCCAAGAATTATTACCGAACCCCTCACTTTTTATATTTAACCACACAGGAGTTTCTGTGATGGTATCTGGCTCTTGTTTCAGTTGAAAATTTCAGAGCTTCCAGAATTTTTCTTCTTCCATCAAAGCTAATAGCATGCAATGCTCAGACCTGATTTTTTTTTTTTTTTATTAAGCAGAGAATGGTTCCCACATTTACTTCTCCTGCTGGATAAACATAGCATCATGGCACTACCCTGTATTGTTCCTCTGTGAAGATCCCTCCGAAATATTGACCAAAAGAGAGGCCAGGGGAAGGATAGGGGAGGTCTCCGTCAGCAACTTACGGTTTGTGAGATGACCTCTCTTCAGGGCAAGAACTGAGGCTGACAGCAAAATGAGAACTTTCCAGCAAATTCATTGTAACAAAGCCTAATGTGAGCTCACTAGGCACAAAAATAGGCAAAAAGAAAGTGACTTCCACATAAGACCTAATTAAATACTTTGATGTCAGGAGCAGAGCAGGGAGGGGTGGAAAATCAAATCAGACCAAAGTGAAGGACCCAAATTCAAATGGAAAGAAGAAATTTTTTTCTCTCTCTTTCTTCCTCCCTTTGTGTGTGCGTGTATGTCTCTCTCCCTGTCTCTTTTCTGTCTCTGTCTCTCACCTTTTCTTCCTTTGCCATTGAAGGAAGAATAAGATTCAGGAACAATGGGTTGAAAATTCTTCAGCCAATAGTCCAGTGACTTACTACTGTTTATAATGCACAGAACGTCACAGGCTGTTTTGCAGCCTTCCCAAGCTGGTTTGTTAATAACAGGAAGCTAGCACTTCTCAGTACAGTGGATCAGCTACACGTGAAAATAAATGCAAAAAACCTGGAGGGGAATAGCAGCAGATCGAGAGTAGCCTTGATTTAATTTAACATTTGGGGGTCCACACACAAATGAGCATTTTAGTAGGCTTCATGGTGGAAGTTGCTGTCATTTGTAAAATATTCTGGCCAATTAGCTAATAGTGTGCTTGAATTTCTCCTGTTTTGATACAGTAATACTAAGTACATTGTGAAGCCCAATTATACAAATCATCCCCATATGCCATACCAGTCTTTCTTTATGAACTGTGTTTATAAATCCTGTGTGAGGAAATGTGTACTTCAGCAATTTAGACCATGTGTAAAAACATAGCCAATGGGATTGTCAAGAAAACAAGTTCCAGCCTAGGAAATCCTAATGTGTTCCGCTGGAATAACAGGAGGGTGCCGGGGAGTGCAACGCTCTGCTTAAATACATAGTGCTTTATAGTGTTTAACCGACTTAGGGGCTTACGCTTCCCTTTCTGTTATTTTATTCTTCTTTTCTTTTAGGATCCAACCTTGGAGTTTCTGAGAAAATTTGGGGTTGGTCTTCTCTCGGGCACAATAGCCTCAGTCATTAACATCCCTTTTGATGTTGCCAAAAGTAGGATTCAAGGGCCTCAGCCAGTTCCTGGAGAGATCAAGTACAGAACCTGTTTTAAAACAATGGCCACCGTCTATCAGGAAGAAGGGTAACACATTCTTATTTTAATAAATGTGCAAGACTGAAGCATTGCTAAAACCATATTGTACTTCCATTTTGATGAGAGCCATTAAGCCCTCCTGAATTGGGTGTGTGTCTGAGAAGCTCTAGGGAATAGATGAGAAACTTTGTGAGATAACACAGTAATGAGATGTTGGCAAAATCTTCTTACGCCATCAAGAAACATAAGCCACGATCATTCAATATACTGTATGTTTGTCCTAGAATGCCAAGGTGAACTTTTTTTTTTTTCCCAAGGTGAACTTTTTGTTTGTCGGTTTGCACAGTATGCTATTGCATATAATATGCCCTGTTCCCACGTGGGCAGGAGAGTAATTCTTCTGACTATACATCTAATCAAAATGTCACCTAATTATATTCTCCTGAGAGAATTAAACATGAGAGTTCTGTGAAGGTAGTTTTCTTTTAAGAATTTAAAGTATGTGCCTTTTTCTACTGTTTTTTGGTTTTTTTTAAGTCTTATTTTCGTCTCTTCATCCCTCCTCAGCAGGTCTTATTCTCAAGTAAGCAAGTAGTATTTTATTATTTTGATCTAAACTGCATCGTATTTCCTTCTGTGAGGACTGCGTTTATGGTCTTTTAAACTCAATTCCAAGAGTCATTTTGTCCATATACACAGCTGTCTTGAAAGTAAGGCCTGTCTGGATAGCAAAAACCATCTCGCTGATGAAAGTCCTATTTGCGATGGGACAAGATCAGCGTAGCTTGGGTATTAAAGGATTAATTCTTTCCTCTCATCCAATTTGCTGCAGAGAATACTTAGCCCGATACTGTCTGTTTTGAGATTTGAAAATTTTTCTCAAATGACTTTTCTGGGTAAATGCTGGGTCAGCATCTCAGTAAAGCTGAGGTACAACTGCATTTTGTTTTCAGAATAAGAATGTTGCTGTTTCCCTTCCGGTTCTAGCATTTTAGCTTTGTATAAAGGCCTGCTTCCCAAGATTATGAGGCTTGGACCAGGTAATAATGTTTTCATTACTTATATCCTTCCTTCCTTATTTCTTTAGTATCCCTTTTATCTTATTTGTGTCTATCTGCAACACAACTAAAGTTTGTCACACTGTGAAACATGGAAACCTTAAGGATAAAAAGTTGTCTGGTAGTATTCAAGACACTAAAGGCGTCCATTAGAAACGTTCTGCTTTTGTTTATAAGGTACTATTTGTGGCCTTACTGGAGGCTAATAGAAGCCAAAGCCCACCTTAAGTCAATCGGAAAGGATGCACAGCCAGCCAGTCGGAGTTGAGTCGCTTCTGGCTGAAAGGGAGGATTTTTTACTGAGTGAGGGACCAGCCCAATAAAACTTTCCCTGTGCTTCTAGTTCATTCTTGCTCCTGCCTCAGCTTCGCTTCAGAAGGAGAAAAGGAGGACAGCTAGTCTCCATGAACAGCCAGTGCAACTCTCCCCACTGTCGCCTCCGGGAAGCAAGAATGGAAAAGCTGCAGCCTGGCGCTCACCTTCCTAGCTCCTGTCAGCATGATGGTGGAGGCTCCTGGCTCGGGGCCTTACCTCAGGATGCCAGCCCACAAAAAGCCGGCTGTCATTCCCACAGGGAGAGTCAGCTGCCTCTGTGTAAACAGATAAGAAAGCAACTGCTGCAGACTCAACCACCTGGGCAAATAGTCTTGGATTATAAGCAACCTTGTGAATAAGTACAGAAGTATGCACTAGACCACACATATTATTTTACCAGGCTACACTCACCTTCTTAGACATACTGGAAATCTTCCCCAGAACTGTCCCCTACTCCTCCCCTTTCTCCCTTTCCCAATCCTCCCTTTGAACACTGATGTCCCCTTCCCCTGCCACACTCACACACATGCACATTTATCTTTAAATCTCAGCCCAGTGAACGAGCATTTCTGCCAACGTGAGATATAGAACAGCAGTCTGTAAATTGAAGCTCGTGAACAGTTCATACTTTTGTATATTTTGAAAACACTTCCACAGTTCCCAATCCATCTATCCCAGCCTTTATAGGCATTTAAGCATGGATTTTTGCTTCACATTTGAGATTCAGACCTGCCTTCTATTTGTTATTGGCCCGTGTGTCAACACGACCCCAATGACAAAGAATATTGGTGATTTTGTGCCACTCTCTCTTCAAGAATGTGGTGTTTTTCCTTCACCACACAGTATAAACCTGCTAGTAGACCCAGTATTAGAGAAAATCATAGGACTGGCCCTAATCCAGCTTTCTCAGGACGGGATGGGCCTGAAAAGGGAGAGCGATCAGGGAGAGTTTAGCTAAAACGGTAATTGACTGGAACCTTAATCCAAAACTCTTAAATAATCTGACCCCAAGTTTTGTTAGAGGCTTGCAAATGTTTGGTTGGCTTTTTAAGTGTTTTTTGCATGAGGTATCCTGAGTTGCTGTGGTGTTAAATCCAATGAAAGGTGTTCTTGTGAACATACTGTCCAGGCTAAACAAAATTGTGAATAACTGGAAATCTCACTCAAGGACATGGCCTCCACTCTCATCCCAAACATACAGGTCCTAGCAACCTCAAAGGAAAGAAAGGTGTAGAGAGAAAGGTAAGACTTTTGAGTTAAGGATAAGATTTTTTTTCGAGAGAGAAAGAGGAAGAGCGAGAGACAGTAAAAAAGAAAAGAAGGGTGAACCTGGCATTTTCATCCTTCGTTTTAGAGAAGCATCCCATCTTTTTTTTTTTTTTTTGCGGTACGCGGGCCTCTCACCGCTGTGGCCTCTCCCGTTGTAGAGCACAGGCTCACGGGCCCAGCTGCTCCGTGGCATGTGGGATCTTCCCGGACCGGGGCACGAACCCGCGTCCCCTGCATCGGCAGGCAGACTCTCAACCACTGCTCCACCAGGGAAGCCCCCATCTTATTTTTATAACAGCCTTAGCAGCTCTATGTGTCTAATGATCAGGACCTCCCATGAAAGAAGAATCTTGAAGTCTGTGGTTTAAACTCCAGATATCACTAGGCTGCAAACTAACCCGATTCTGCGTGTTCTTGTCTTATATGGTGAACAGTTAATAAGAGTAAACAGAGCAATTACATACATATTAACAACCCTCCGTAGTGCATCCCTTTTTGTTTGCCAGAGCCAATAGGGCTACAGCAGCTGAGAGGGGGCTATTAGAGTATCTTCAGGGGTTAAAAGTGAAAATTACAGGCAGATAATTATCTTTGGTATAAGGTTACACAAACATGTGCGGCCTGTAGATTTAAAAAAAAAACATATGGTAGTGTGTACAAAATAAGATCAAAATCAAGTTCTGTTTCTTTCTGTCAGAAGCCAGTCTTCTGTTCATGCAGCCAAGTCTTCTCTAAGTTGTACTCTGGATATCTGTCCACATTTTTTTAAATTGGGCTTTACAATGTTGTGTTAGTTTCTGCCGTTTGTCCACACTTTGATTTTGTAATATTGTTCACATAGACATGAAAGGATAGAGAATATCTTAAAGGGCACAGGATATGTGCTATTTACTGCATCAGACAGAACACAGAATCATGCACATGCAAATGCTTCTCCCTACGTCTAAGTATTCAGCAGCCTCAGTGCTTGTTTTCCATATCATAGTCCTATTGACATATTACATAGCAAGCCCTTTTGCAGCCAGTTATATAACTCTTCTCTTCCAAGATAAATGATGGTCTTAGGACACTCAACCCCGACTACCAAATTTTCAAGTGCAATCCATATATATCTGAGGCAGATGAAAGGAATGAAGGCAACAAAAATCTGAGGCAACAAAAGGAGGTTGAAAGCTAGCTAAGTTTTGAAATACAGATTTTAAAAGTACTCAGAAGCTATTTTTCACATTGTAATCCAGTTTGAAAGCTGTAAGAGAAAACCAGGCTCGTCCATCAAGCTCCATCTTAGAGATTTCCTTCTTGAATGCAACTACAACAATGCTAATTATAAACTGAAAAAGATAAATCCTTTGCCTACATATGACAAATCTGAAGGTTTCAGTTTGCGGGAAAGCCACATGCCCTTACATGACTAAATGTGTCTGTATTTACTTACTTTTAAAAATTAAAAGTGCCTGAAAAAGAATCTGATGAGAAATGATGAAAGTTACAGAAACTCATGGGGAAAAAATGTAGTTAGAGACTCAAGATGGTCTTGATTTCGCTCTGAGAATTTTCCACAGTAGTTTTCTGTGTGTTGGAGCTTGAGAACTGATGATTCTGAATGGCTTCTGCCTGATACGCTGCATCGGACTCCAGGGATTCAGAAACCCAGTGGGAAAGACAGCACGATTTCACAGGACTTGGGATGAAAACCAGCTCTTTTCTTTTCTAGGTGGTGCAGTGATGCTGCTGGTTTATGAATACACCTATTCATGGCTTCAGGAGAACTGGTGATTGCCTACAGAGTATTTTTTCCCCCTTGTGATAATGGATATTCATTATACAGCACCATGAGAAGAAGAGAATATCGATCAGCTGAGCTGATACAATGATTAATTATAATTATACAACTATACACAATTATAGAGGGCAAAACAGTTTGTTCAAGAACAAAACCTATTTTGATACTTCAAAAATTATCTCTAGACAATTAGAAACTGTTGTTTTGGTCAAATCCATAAAACTGTGAGAAGAAAATTACTACTATGAAGCAATGAGGTATCTAAACTGAATATAGAAAAATAGCATGAAATCAGATATATTTCATAAAAGCAATATAAATGTTGTGACCTATGTTCCTCTTACAAGGCTTCACAAGGAAAATTCATTGTGTTGATGATTATTTTCTCCCAAAAGGTCAAGAAGTGCTTAAAAGTGAAAAAAAATTAAGCCAGAATTTAAACAGTTTTTATAAGGAATTAAATTCTTCCATAAGTGGTATTTAATGATATACAAGGAAGATATTTCTACAGTGTATCAAAATGACCTTTTAAAATTTTATGTTAAAATGTGAGTTTGTTGGTTTCTTTTAGTAATAATACTCATCTCAGCTATATTTTCCTAAATCTACTTTATATTTTTCACTGTTGGTTAATATTTTAAAATCATGATATTTGAAGTCTTTTATGACAAATATAAAACATGAAATTATATTAAACTACTTTCCCTCTGAAAACAAATTTTAATGCTGAAATATTTTCATGCTAAATCACAAATTCGAACCACTCCTTGGGCCCGTTTGTGCTATCTGTATTTGCATCAAATACCTTTGTTCAGAACTCTTACCTATGCCATTCTTAAAAATGATGTTTAGAATGAAACTAAATTTCTAGATTATTAGTTTTAAGTGACGGTTTCAGGTGTGAAGTCGACTAACTGCAGTGTTAGAATATGTATTCTGAAGGGGAAAATGTTTCAAAGGAGAAGTACATTCTTAGCATTTCCAAAGATTCCTGTACTAACATGCACTCCAAAAATTATCTCCTTGGCGTTGACATAACCAAACTTAATTTTATATATGCATCCTGAAATGATGCTACTTCAGTAGCTAGAGTCAACAAAAATATCTGCATGTTCTAGGTGGCACCTGTTCTTAACTACTGCAAGATATTTCTACCATGAAGCTGTGTCACTAAAACATTTTGAAAATAAAAAATGAAAGATAACATAGTAATTATTACTTTTTATTAATTTAGAGCATTTAAAGTATAAAAATAAAGGCTTTTTGACATACTGTATATACATACACAGCCTTCGGTTGTACATCCTCTCCAACGTGTTTTTTTAATTTATATTTCAGCCCAGTATTTAATGAGGGTCGTTAAAAGTAGGACAAAACAAGAGAAATAAGAATGTGTCTGTTGTCCAACTGCATTCTATCCTTCAGGTAATACTCTTGCCTTCTGTGAAAGAGAGCACTGCCTGCACAGAGGCCATGAAATTGAACCTTTAACCTCTCCATGGGGATGGGGTGGAAAAGGATCTCTGAAGAGTGCATTTGCCAGGTTAAAAACAACACTTTTACCCCCTAAGAATCAGAGGAAATATGTCAACAGTAACCAATAATAATAATGTCTTAAAAATCAAACCACCCCATATCCCATCCCACTTTCCTTCTCTCATTTTTAAAAGTAGCTTTAAATCATAATGTGCTTTAAATAGCCAATTGTATTAGGGCTTTTCTCTTTTTCAATTTACTCCATGTGAATTCACTGTTGCTAAGAAAAAACCTAGGGAAAAAAAGAAAAGGAAAACTTTCATACTATTAATATTAGATTGTTAACGATACAAGAAATGGAAAAAATATATAAATAGCATAATAACAAGAGATTTCTTAATTTAGATAAAGAAGATAACATTTAGTTATGTTTCCATACAAACAATTGATATTTTTTAAAGACTCCTAATAGCCGCCTAAAAACATCTGATAAGGAATAACTCTGTACCTTATGTCAGTTTTTCTGCATGGCAGGAGAGTCCCTGTACAGTGTGGTTTTAAAGTCTCCACCAAAATATTGGACTGGTACTTTGTTCCATTCGGTTTATAGTCTATTTTCTCACCAGACTGGGAACTCCAGATGTCAATAGGAGCTTTACAAGATCAAAGGAAGACTACGGCCCTGAGAGTTCATCTGCTTCTTCTGCTTCTTCTTCTCCTGAAGTTATAATCCTGTTTGCAGCACTGAATTTCGGTTGCTTTAGAAATAAATGCAGTTCAAAGCTCTCTATGAGATATCTGCTGCTTGAAAAAAGCAGTTCCTCGAACATAGCTTGTGTGTCAGAAATCTGCTTACTGTTTATATCCTGGTGATTTGAAAACCTAGCTAATCTAGCCATCTGAGTTTTAGATGAGGCCATGAAACCGATGTGACAGAACTGGATTGCCATGTGGGCTGTGCACAGCACAGACCAGAAGAAATCAAAATCACCTAACGAATGCATCTTTAACATCCATATCTAGTGATGTGCCCTGTTAGTTATTGCACAGAATTAATACCAAAAAACACGCAATATATTAATTTTCCAATAGATGAATTGTACCAATGTTTTAACAACGTATTTTCAAGCCTATATTGCCAAGCAGGAAGAACTTTCTAAACAGAAGCAATTAAAACTGTAGAATTTTGCCCAAGAAAATCAACTGTTTTAAAATACAACACATAATCACATGCTCACACACACACACACACACACATACCCCTCAGCTCTATGATTAACACTAAAGTGAAAAACAAATTGGTTTAGAAAGATCCATCAGTTAAACTGTGTCCCGTAACTCCAGAAATGAATAAAGGGAATTTTTAAAAATTAAATAGCATTTGTATTTCTAATACCACCACCAGTTTACCTACACGTGAAACATGCTTCTGTACAACAATGTAAACTTCACAGCAAGCCATTTTTACATTCATTAGAGCAGAATTTTCCATTGTCTTTAAATTACAACGTAATTTTGGGCTGAGATTGCTGAACACACAGGTAAGCCAACAATAACAGTACAATTTAGTTTCACAGTGGTTTTCTTAACATAAAGTTCATTTTAAGTGTCTTTGCAAAGCATTTCACATTAAACTTAAGTTTCTAAGTGACTTCCTGTAGAGCCTTGTTCAGATATTTTCCACCCTCTTGTCTTTATATGCTTGGCATGTGTGTTGTTTGATTGGGATACAAAATGGGAGACTGGCTTGTTTTATCTGTGTTTTGAATCCTCTGTTGTAGAAAGAAAATGTCCTTCATGAGATGTCGAAGCCTTCACTGCACACACAAAATCTGGGGCAAGTCCAGGTCCAGGAGCCTGAGCAGCCCACCACCAAACAGAGACAAAGACATTGCCGGAAAGTCACCTTTGCAAAAAGAAAGGAAAAAAATAGAGAGGGGTGGGGGCAGGGGAGGGGCCTATCCCATGGAATGAAAACACAAATGCACCAGAGTCCATATTTACAAACTAATAGAAAGTATAAACATTATTGTATTTGGAACCAAGTCAAAACACCAGGAGGAGCTAAATTCAGATATTGCTTAAGTTATACATATATTTTCCAACAAAATATGCCATCTGTTAAAAATAAACAACGGATCACTCAAGTCAATTATTGATTGGTTTCCTAATGATGAATTAAGGATTATTTTGTTACCTTATTTGATTAGAGGGTGTAGCATAACTTTTTCTATACCTATTTTATTGGTTTTGCAAAATCTCAACAATTGCACGTTTCAGAAGTTCAGGTTGATTTAGAATAAATATACACATGTGGTTTTACCAAAGACTAGTTTTAAAAGTTCCTTAAGCCCTTTGAGGGGTGCAGGTTTCTTCACTATGTTAAAACAGTGTGTGGCCAACACAAACGTCTCGTTCAGTCCTTAACATTGCTTTTGTTTTTAACTCCTACAGTCATGTCAGGTGTCCTGTGAGAGAGAAGTTATGGTAAGAGATATTTGTCACCAGCACAGAGGATGTGAGTCCGTAAAGCCAGCTTTCGAGGCAGGAGGGTTGGAGGGCAGAGGGGTGGGATCCGAGACCAGGGAAGAAGGGGAGGGTGTGCTGAGGTGGGGGGGGCGCGGGGCGGGACTCGGGTGAAGCTGCGGCAGACGGAATCTCCCATCAGAGTGCGGAAGCCGTGACAGAGTGGCTACCTTCTCGGGCTGCCTGCATTCCCTTGAACGCCAGCGACGCGGGAATGTCACAGTTGTGGGGGGAAAGTGGGGTGCCACTGGCATGTTGCCACCCGTGTCCAGCAACATAACCAGAAGGAGCAGCGCTGTAGGTCATGTAAGGCGACACTTGGGCTGGGGTAGGATAAGGAGCCATGCTGGATGCTGACACAAAACTGCTTACAGCTGGGAGACCATTTGGTGCCTAAGAGGAGTAGGAAAAGAGAAGAGGTGAAAATCACATTAGAGCGGTTGACATTTCACGAGTTCTTAGAAGGAAGCAGAATGTCAGTTCTGAGTAGTAACTAACAATATTCTGACCCTACTTTCTGATTTTTTGTTGTTGTTGTTTAGACTTGACTCTTTTTATATTCTAAATGCATTCACAGTCTTGCTACTTAAACATATTCTTTCCACAAAGATTTTGAGGAAGCTACAACCAGAAAATTCACAGTATTTGCTTTTGCTACTTGGAATTATAGGAAGGAAATGCAGGGTGAGAAAAGAATTAATTGTGATTAAGTACTCTTAGAATCCATTCAGCTCTCTATCTGCCTTTGTCAACCCTCCCCATACTTCAGTTTTGTTTGACTCTTTTGTTGAGGCATTTGTGAAGGGCCTGGTTGGTATAGCTTTCATTTCCATTAAAGAAGGGCAGAGTATGGGCTGTCACTTTAGAAACTCAAAATGAGCGTGACCTTTGTTAAATAAAACGTGGGCCATATTTTAAAACCATGTTGAAAATGCTTGTTGGACGAAGGACATGCAAAATCAGGCAGTTTGTCTAGAAGGGTTCTTTAATGACAATTGGGAGTATACTTTCCAGAGCTATTTTATCAAAAAGGAAACTGTCAGAATATAAAAGAATCGCATATGCATGGTTTTGAAATTGGAAAATTTGCTTGCTAAGTTTTAGGGCCCTGTGATCTGAATTTTTAGAAGCCACATGGATAAATCTCTTGAAATGAATTTAAATGTAAAATGTTAGTTTGCAAACAAAATGCAGCAACGCTGGCAGGCAAGTCTGCCTAGAAGCCAGTGTTCTCTTGGCAACCAATAAATTATTGTTGGTATCGTTACTATTAACAACACCAAAAACACCCTGATTTCTAATCCTCATTCTGGCATGAATACTCGGCATCCTTCTTTAACTAACTTCATTTTTCCCCCTGAATTTCTACATTGTTGGGGCTTCCCTGGTGACACAGTGGTTAAGAATCTGCCTGCCAATGCAGGGGACACAGGTTTGAGCCCTGGTCCGGGAAGATCCCACACCCGGCAAAGCAACTAAGCCCATGCGCCACAACTACTGAGCCTGCGCTATAGAGCCCATGGGCCACAACTACTGAGCCAGCGTGCCACAACTACTGAAGCCCGCGTGCCACAACTACTGAAGCCCACGTGCCTAGAGTCCATGCTCCGCAACAAGAGAAGCCACCGCAAGGAGAAGC